AGCTTAATGGAGCAATAATACACCCACACTGAGAAGGGGAAGAAGAGAGGAATGATCAGTGTGACATGATTTCTTTATACAGAATAGCATGTCTGAGAAGGGTAGGACTGAGCTGAATGTGGAAAGCTCAACTGAAGTCACCTGTGGTGAGCCTGGGGGGACACAAACCTGCCAAGCTGCCTGCAGGTTTAGCTGCCTTCTGAAAAATTGCTTGAAGCACAGCAATTCCAGTTTTCATGGAAAGCCACAAAAGCAGCATCCTGCATGGGCAGTACAGAGGAAATACAGCAATGGGTGTCACTGTCATGGCACCAGTGTGGGCATGTGTGTTGTTAAATGTATATTTGTGCTGTCTCCTAGCCTACGTTGTTCTGCAGACTGCACAGGCTGTTTAGGTTACCACCTAAACAATTGGTAAGACCTAGCAGACAAACAAAAGGCTTTGAAAGATATTAAATGCTGGGCTGTGATTGGATGTGCCTTGCAGCAGGTCAGGCATGCACTCCAGATAGGTGTTTGCCCCAGCCACTAGAAGAATTGCAAAATGAATGTAAAAAGCAGTGTGTTCAGTGTAGTATCACTCCGGTTAGCTCAGCTGTGCTTTCAGAAAAATGCACAGTGCACTATGAAGTCAGCTTTCAAGTACGTTTATTTACTCAACAATTATTAGGAAAAACAGGCATGGAGTTGTTCTTTCATCTTTTGTTTTGCTTTGTTTGAGGGCGTTTTATGGCAGGAACATTTAGAAGCAGAAGGTCAGGAAAACAGACTTTTCAGACTTTGTGCTCACTTAACTCTTTATCAGGTGAATGTCTTCATCTGCCTTAAGAGGAGCAGTAACATTTACTCTGGGCTTGCCAAATTTGGGAAGCAGATCTGTGATGCTCCCCTTGAACAAGGGGATGTGTGTGTACTAATGAATAAGGGCATGAGCTGAAGAGAGCTGTACCCTGGGCCACTCTGGGTGGAAATAAATGTTCAACATGGACCTAAGTGTGGCCAAGGATGGCATTATCTCACTGCCACTGACACGTGCAACTCACTGAGCCCCCTGGTTTGCAAACTGCATGGTCAGAGAAACAAAACCAGTACCAAAGGCTGTTCTTCACCACCCACCGTGCTGGCTAATGTTTATGTTCTCTTTTCAGCTGTAATTGTTGGCAATACCACGTCATTGTAGGAAAGGGGGAAGTTAAATACCATCTTATAAGATGTGCTGTAGGTGTACTCGGAGCACTCTTCCTTCTCACAGTCTCAAGAACTGGAGTTTTTTCCCCCATCCTGGGAGGTCAAAATAAAAATTGTGCTTTAGCTGGAGTTACCTTTCAGAAACAGCAGCCAAATTAAAGATGTTTCAAATATGACTGCAGAGTATGGATAGCTCAGGAAACAGTTTTAGGTCAGATTTCCAAATTGCAGTTGCACCTCCCTAGACCCCTTTTGACATAGCTCTGCTGACAGAAACCAGTAATAGGTCTGGTGATTGCTCACTGCAAACTCAACCTTCTTTGGGCTGCTGTCTTCTTTCTTAGTGCACACAGCAGGCAGATAAGTGTGACCCATTAAAATAACATTTATGTGATTGTTTAATGTTACTGTTTAATACAGGCTTGTGTGTATAAATCACAGGAGTTGAGCTTAATGGAGTAATAATGTAATAATCACATTGAGAAGGGATGAAGAGAGGAATGATGGATGTGAATTTTTTCAGGAGAGAAAGGTAAAGTGATCTGGGGCACTGTTTCCACTTGTGCTCCAGCCTTCCCATGTGACTTTGGATAGAAGGCTGTACCCTTTTGGTACCTCAGTTTCTTCTCCATTAAATTAGAATTCCAAACTCATTCCTGTAATTGTGCCAGTTGAGTGTAGAGAGAAGAGCTGCAGACCTACAGCTACCAAAAGGCCCAGAAAATTGCAGAGGCTGGTTTTGAAAGATGCCAGTGCCACCAGCCAAGTGTGTGAGTGTAGGTACCTGAACTGCTTAAAATGTTTTAGACAACTATATTAGGAACCAGACTGCTGAGTGTCCAAGTGGCACAAAGATTACAGCTCTAGGGTCTTTCATGTCCAAACAGGTTTGAAACTGGAGACTTGTATGCCTTATTTGCTGAACAGATTCTTAAAATGCTGCTAAGTCATAATGTTTCTGTTGTTGTTGTTTGTTTTGTGTAATTAGGCTCTAGCAGAACAATTGCAATCTGTTTAACTTTGTGTTTTGCTGTGCTGGATACACATAGCCCTGATTTTAGTTCTTCTGTAGATTTAAGTTCAATAAAAATAACAATAGTTTTACTAATGAGGACAACAATATGAAGCCAGGATTCATGCTAAATTAGTAACTATTAGTGGCTTAGATCTATAATGAAGATTTCCTTGCCCTCTGTCTGTGTCTTAATTCATTACAGAGAAGTCCATCATATTTTATAAAAAACATTTTGCCTTTTTTTCCTGAAACTCTTGCCCAAAACTATTGGAAAATCAGGTGCTTTCCTGTAACATCAGAATGAGACAAATGGCACTGCTTGCTTTTATTGTTGTACAGAAGTGGTTTTCCTTTTGACACAGACTTGGCAATGAAAAGTACTGGAGACTAATGGACACAAGCTTCAAAGCTTTCTGTGTGGGCCCTTGGAAGACAAAAAAAAAAAAAAAATATCTAATTTCTGTTCTAATCAATCTGGGTTAGAAAGAAAAGTACTCCAGATCCAGGCTCATGGGGAACCTCTTACCTTTACTCAGAGGAAGAGTGGGCAGCAAGTGCTGTCCCTGAATGCATCTGCAGGAGAAAAATGAATGGGGTAAAAAGGAAAAAAATGAGGCAGAGTAATTTTGTGCTCGGGAGACTGGATAATTCACCTGTCTACAGGTATTTATTCTGGTGGCCTTTAGGGACATTTTCAAGTCACAGCAGAAGAAAGGCTAAAATAGTTTCAAGGAGTTCCCATACTTAAGAGTTAAGTGAGTGGGAACTGTATTAATGTGAATGTGAGTAAAACTAGTTAAATTCAGATCCCTTTTCTAATTTGTTGCATCAGAATCTTTCCCAGATCTGCTCCTCCATTATCCCATCAAATAGTCCTTATTTATTCATTTATTTATTTCTTCACATACATTGAGGAAGAAAAGGGAAGGAGTCACTCCCCCCAGTGAGGACCATCTGCTCTTTTCTTACTGGAAGGGAAAAAACCCTACAATTAGTATCTTGTTCATCTCTTTGTTTTACTAAAAAAAAAAAAAAAAGAGGGGGAAAGAAAGTAAAAGAACTATTATGCAAATATCTGCAATTTGGTTTCAAATATTCTTTGTACTATGATGAGCAATTTCCTTTAATACAAACTCAGCCTACTTGCCAAAACCATTTTTTTTTAAATTTTGCATTAATATATGGAAGGGAAAAAAATCCCAACTTCTGTGTTCTTCTGGTGGCAAATTTGTCTCATCCTTTTTTTTCCCCCCTTTCTTTCTTTCCTTGGCACTATTACAGCTGTTATTCTGTAAGTTGTCAGATGTCATATTGGTGTTTTTTGAGGAAAAAAAAAAAAAAGACGACAGCCAAAATAGCCTTACAGAGCCACAATTCTATCTCACTTTTCATTGTTCCATTGCCATGATGAAATGGTCTTGAAATGGAGAACTCAGTGAATGAGAGAGAAGAGCTTTCTCCTCGCTGCATTTGAATGCCAGTGGCTTGTGATGGCAGCATTACCTCTAAGAACAGTTGTTTAGGGTTTTTATAAGGAGCTCCTGTGCTACTGGTCAGGGGTGTGAACTTTAGGGTTAAATAGCATAGCCAAGATAAAACCTGCTGGTCCTTGGTCCTGGACCAGCTTGGTAACCAAAACCTAGCATGGTAGCTGAAAACTTCTTATAGTCTGGAAAAGGGAAATAAAGTCTTTTCTGTGTACAAAGGTTAAGTGTGGAAAAAATCTAAATGAACTCATCCAAGACCTGATGGGAGAGGTGATGGAAGTATCAGATGCTGAGCTAAGAGGCTCAGATTTAGAAAGCAAACATGGTGTAAATGACCTCATTACCTGAAGCTGTAATTGCAATATTAACTCCCAGTATGCAAATGGACCACACTTATAAAAGTGTGAAAATCTGTGGGCCATTGTCCAGTTTTTGGGTGTAGCCCCTGGGTGAGCTTCCTCTACCCTAAATGTACCTGAAGGCCCTTCAATAAATATACCTGCTTTTTATTCCCTTAATTTTGTCTGGCCTCTGTTTGTAGGTAGTCCCAAAAAGGCATTAAAACAAGACCAAGGAGACTTTGAGTGAAGTATATCACACCTGCATCTTTTTTGTGGCTGCAACGGAACAGGAAATGCAGTCTGCGCAAATCTGAAATTCTACAGGGCAGTGCAGAATTTTAGATTTGTGCAGACTCTTGTTTTTTGGGGCTCAGAACATCAAGTGGGCATTACATGAGCCTTGGAGGTTCCCTAGGAATGCCTAGCACTGGACAGACAGGAATTCATGGTGCTTCGGGGACCACTGTTATGGAATCCTTTAGCCACTCGAGTATTGGAATAAATTACATGGGGCTCCATTTTCCTCATGGTGGAAAAAGCCAATTCTTTATTCACATAACTCGTTTTTATACAGTTTTATAGACTTTGTGTGAGACTTTAATTGGTTAGTAACTTTCTTGCTAATTATTTTATTGGTTAGTCACAAGTTGTTACCCTGTGTAGATTGGTTACTTAAAGTCTCAGTGTGTATGGTCAGGAAAAGTTGTTTGTGAGAGATAGTTTTCATTTTTCTATCTAACAGTATAAAACCAGTTTATGCAGGTGCAGGTTGTTTTTCACCCAGGAATGGATTGTTATGCTTTCACTAGGATTGCTTTCACATGGGAACTGGCAAAGGGCTGGCCTGACAAGGAGAGCAGGCTTGATTTTACGAAGCCTTTCTTTATGATTTCCTACCTTACTACAACTTGAGTGCATTGAGTCTTTGAGCACACTGGGGTAACCTTTGGGTCACTTTTATTGTTGCAGGAAGCTCTCATCATGGCCAGCATGGACCACCCACACCTGGTGAGACTTCTGGGTGTCTGCTTGAGTCCCACCATCCAGCTGGTCACTCAGCTGATGCCTCATGGCTGCCTCCTGGATTATGTCCATGAACACAAGGATAATATTGGTTCCCAGCTCCTGCTGAACTGGTGTGTCCAAATAGCTAAGGTATGTAGTTCATGTTGGGGTTTTTGAATAATTTCTTGTTGTTTTCATAATTAACCTTAAAACATGACTTTTTTGTTTGTGGTGGGGTTTTTTCAGGTCTGTTTTTGTTTCCAAGAAGGTTGGGTTTTCTTTAAATACACACTATTTTGGCTGCTTTACAGACTTGTCAATATGTGAACCAAAGTGTTTTTCCTGACTGTTGTCTTGGTTTGAACAGACAGGTGTCTGCTAAGGAAGGCAGGAGCGCAGCAGTCCCATTCCATGGTGGCTCAGCCCTCCTGCAGTGCCAGCTGTGGTTCTGCTGGAACAGGGATCCTGGACAAAGGGTGGAGCTTTCCACTGAAAGTCCAGGGGTGCTGTAGATGAGCCTGGTCTTCCTCTGGGAATGCAGTGCAGAAGAAAGCTGCTCCTCTGGGAATGCAGTGGGAAAAGGCTGCTGTGGTGTTCCAAATGTCAGATTGTATCCAGGTGGGAATGCTTGGCTCCTCCCCTGGGCAGAGCATCTCCCAGTGGGATGATGGAATTTTATCAGCCATGCAGGGACACTCAGTGGCCATGAAGAGAAGAGATCTCCTGGAGGGAGATGGGTTGTAAGATAAAGAAAACTGTCCAATGAACAGAAGAGAACTGCCCCATCTCTAACAGAGGGGAATAGAATACCCACAAACCATATCTTACAACCCAGGACAACTGTCTTTCCAACTCAGTGTTCATGTGGGATTGTTTTTTGGGGTGAGGGCGAGTGAGGAAAGAAACCCCCATGTGAAAATTGGGTCTGGACACAGGGTGTTTTTTCAGCCTCCTCTGTTGTTCACTGTTAATATATATACTGGTTTTCAGCCCTTCTGGATCTGCATTGCCAGATCTATCATCAATTGTCTGTCAGGAAGATAAAGATGTCCTTCATGTCACTCCTGGGGTGGTGATCCTCCTGCATTTGGGTCACAAACTATCCTTGGCACAATGTTTTACAGCTGGTTTTAGGCACGTTTAGGTATTCAGTGTTGTACTAAGAACAAGGCACTAAGAAAATTGTTTGCAAAGAATAACATCTTTCACTGTAGAAGGCCATAACATCCATTTTAAAGGTGCTTTTGAACAACTAGGGTTGTTTACTACAAGTGGCAATTTGGAGCCTGCCTTTTGCATTGAGTTATTTGGAAGTTGTTTAAAGTTTTAGATTATTTTGGAGAAAATGCTTGTTATAAACACATGCCCACAGACTGCTATCTTACATTAAATCTGCAGCCTTAAGTGAATTCCCTACAGCATGTATTACAAAATCTTAATTCAACTTGTAATGTTAATCTTTTGGCACTGAAGAGAAACCTGGAGGTTCAGCAATTGTTTTGCTGGACCCAATATTAAGTAAACATTTGCCTCTTTTAACAACTTAAATACAAAAAAAATGTTCTTATAAAAGTAAGAAAACGTAGAAATTCAGCTAGCACTGTGTTGTTCTTCAGGAAGAGCAGAATTTTGAGGAGCATCATGAATAGGGCCTGTTTTCTTTCCAGAATCAGGTCTGTTGTTAAGCCTTCCTGAAGAAGAAAGCGGATAAAGTGACTGTAGGGCTGGGTAGAGGTGGGGGGAACCCAAATCTGACATTGCAGCATTTTGTAGATGTGTCAATGTCCTGTGCTGTGGTGGTAAAGCAGCCAGAGGTGTTGCAACACACCAATGGGAATTGCCTGTATGGAGATGTGCAAAGGTTTATTTAGGGCTGATACCAGACCAGGGAAGGTGGGAGAAAAATCCATATTCCTGTTTGAGTCCTTTCTCTCAACACAGCCTCCTCCCCATCTGTTCTCCACTCTTTGATAGTTTTGATGCAAAGCATTTACCCAGTGCCACAGTGCAGAGGTAATGCTCCATGATTTTCACTTTGTGAGTGCATATGGCCCTTGACTCCTTGGGTCAGGGCTGTGCTGGCTTTGCTGTGAGCTTTGTAGTGGAGCAGACAGCCTGATTCACAGCTTATGGATCTCTGGGAAGGCCTGTGGAAACAGGTCATGGCTTTCCCATGGTAATTCTTACCAAAGTGTGTGTTGGTGGTTTTTCACAAACAGGATGGGACTGCTGGAGTTCATTCCTTGAGCTTTTATTGCAGCATCAGCCTCATTGCATGGTTGAGACAATTGAAAGATGGCAAAGCTCACGTCCTGCCAGCAGCATAGATTTCTTTGTTACAGAGCATTTTAAAAACTTTCCAGCCAACAGCACATTGCTAAAACTTACATACAGTTGTTCTATCCAATCACTAAATGTACATCTGCTTCACACAATGCTTGCTTGTATTCTTTTTATTAACAACACACAATACTTCATTATTAAGCTTAAAACCTTCTGCTATCTTGCTAAGCACATTTTCCTGCAGTCTTAAAGTTTATCTTAGCCAAGCCAAAAATTCAAGCTATAGTTTCATACCTTTGCTTACTATACTATTGTAACTTTTTCTACTTTCAAACTTTACAGCTGCAGCTAGCGCTAAGTTTTCTGTTCTTTCTGCTAAAAAGCCTACTTTTACAGCTCTCTAGAAATCTTTTTACCTTTACTATTTCTTACATTGTGAAGCAGCTTCTAAACTGATTGCCACTGTACATGGCTTCAGCTTAATGTGGGGTTTGGATTTAGGGACACTTGGTGGAAAATTGTTGCTGCTGCTGTTCTTGATCACCCCTGTAATGTGGGAGGAGAAGATGAGGTGTCACAGACACATGAGATCTGAGGTGGTAACCAAGCAGTGCAAAGAAGTGAGATCAGAAATGTAATATCAACTGATGCAGTGTCAGGAAGAGAAAGGGAGTTCCTTTGTAATAAAAGTTGGCCTGTTATTGAGAGAGTTTAGTGAAGTTTATTTATGCTAGTTTATTGAAAATTAATTAAATTTATGTTCTTCCAGATCACAGTAATCATGTCAAGTGGGGTTAGAGGGTGTGCACAAAAAATTATTTCAACTATAGTAAGAGGAAAAACCTTTGAGATCATCAAACATGGAGTCCCCTTATCCCAAAAAGTAGAATTAAAGTGATACTCATTTTCCATTAGTCTGTCACATTTAACAGTGACTAGAAAACAGGAAAGGTACCATTTGCCTTGAAATAAAGTGATCTCCAGAAGAATGAGTTCAGAAGGCAGCAACAGGCACAAATCCCCATTCACTGCAGGAAAGGTGGACATGTGTGTCCACATTCCTATACCCACTGTGCCCGTGTTTCAGGTGCTGTCATACAGCTTGGGAGATCCTCTCCACGTGTTGCTTTTCTAGGCTGTGGGCAGTGATTGGTTGTGTCTTTTTGCAAGGTACCAAAAGCATAATTGCCAGAGTAGTAAGAGGCAAAAATCATCAGTGACTTCCCAGTCCTGTTCTCTGCTCCCTGAAGCAGCTCCTGGTAGCTTTTGCTAGGATACATTGTTCTACCCTCACCTTCCCTATTTTATGGAGAGGATTTTCCTTAGCAAGAAGAGGACTGAAGCCACTGGAAATGCCTCAGGTCTGAAGCTCAGGCTGATTTTTAGGAATTGTTTAAAATCAAGTTGCTGTTGTGACACAGTCCCTCCCTAACTGTGCTTTTCTCCATCTGCCAGTGTGCAGGCATTTATTTATGGAAGTCATTGCTTCAGAGCTCACTTGTTCTGCCAGGCTGTTCATTTCCATATGTCTCTACTTCTGTACAACTAGATGCAAAGCTAGTTAGCCACTATGCCTGCTTGCCAACCCACATATGGCTCTGGAGATAGCTTCTGAAGGCTGATGAGAGGGCAGTTATAAAGCATTATCTACTGCCAATTGGAAAAGGCTTGGGTGCTTTTTCTCTTTGCTTATACAGATTGTGTTGAATTTATTCTGATGTTACATCATTGTAGGGTAATTGTGTTCTCCTTCCAGAAGCTTTAACTTCTTATTTTATGGATGAAAGCTATAAAAATAGAGTAGCCCCCAAGCATTCTGCATAAAACATGGTTGTTAGACAGCAGCTGTGTCTAAGGGGGCTCTTCCCTTCTGCTCTGCAGATTCACAAGGCTTCTCCTGGTGTCTCACTTCCATGGGGACTGCCTTGCTTGGAAAGGAATGTTTAACCTTTTAGCTCTGAGATCAGCACAGCAATTTTACCTGGAGTTTGCTGTCCAGTAAAGCAGTGAATTGTGCTCATGTATCAAGGTATTTTGCAGTGGGAGCAAGAGTCCACCTTGGTGACCTCAGGGTATGGAAGGAGGGAATAATATTCCATAAACACCCTTAGTGTTGGCTCCTTGAGAAGTGGATTGAAACTCCAATTCTGTATGGATGGCACAGTCTGGAAGTGAATTCTCAATGGGTCAATCACATCCTTCTCAGCCAGGGTGTGACAGGTACACATAAGTCAGGAAGATTCCACAAACAAACAGGAAAAAAAGTGCTGTGTGCATTGATATTTCAATGTGTTTGATGCAGTTTCTCTCAGCTAGGGCTGCCCCAACACACACATACACAACTTGGAGCTGTGAGGGTGAAGACATTGTCATGGAAATGCCTTTAAGAAGGGAAGACACGTCTGGAGAGTTTTAGTCAGGAAAGGTTGGTTACCCTCTGCCACTGGTTGAGGTTATCTAAGGGATCTGAATTTGAGGCCCCTGTCTCTCTCAGGGGCTTACAGAAATGTAGTTTTGCTTCTGTAATGTTGCATACAACACATGCTAACTTCAAGATACACCTGAGCAGTCACATCTCCTCTTTAACTGTTGGGTTTTTTCCCTCTTACAATCATGGTGTCTTTCTGCTGCTGTTGATTTGCATTACATCTGCACTCATCTTGCTGAGCACTGTTCAAGGGCAGAGGAATTTTTCCTGCCCCAAAGAAGTCAAGGTGAAGGGAAAGTCAGGAAACAAACTTTCTAACATGAGGCAGCTTGCCTGTGATCACCTAGGCTGTGGAGGAGAGCTCAGCTCTCCTAGGTCTTAGCCCCATCCTGTTCTGCCCTGTGTCCCCCATGGGCTTCCAGACCTGTTTCTTGTGTTC